CCCCAAAACCCCAAAACCCCAAAACCCCAAAACCCCAAGAAATTAGTGGATAATTGATAATAAAATAACACTTCAATATGCATAAGGTAAGACCTAAGGTAAAAATGATAGGCAAAAGAACTATACAGCAGCAATCAAGGTCATAGGTTGTATAGAAACCATCAGTACTGACTTTCAACAGGAAATGACAAGCTAGATCGTAATTGTAGTCTTAATTTTAGAAATCATAAATGGGTATGTGGTTGGCTCCATTGTAACAATAATTACGTCTGGTAAGTTCTCACAGCCTTATGGTACTATAGACGATGCTCCTTCAGAATACCATCTGCAGCTTCTCAGACTTTCAGCTGGTGAAGCAATTGTGAATGACCAGCATGCAATCATTTATGATAGCTATTCTCAGAGAAGAAAGAAATTTTGGGCAGATCTGTTGCCTAAAGCTAACAAAAAGTCACTCAAAAAGAAGGCAGAAGAATATAAAACCGGAGAATCAGTACACATTCTTGCTTAAATTCTAGAAAAATTTAAAATATGGAGAAGTCCTTAAGAACATGAAGGAAGGAGCTTCAGACAATCTTCTTCTCGCATGGAGATACAACGAATGTATTCAAACACAGCAAGATTTGAGGACCAAACAAGAAGAGGGTTCTCATCTTGCTAGTGACTTCAGGAACAGGAAATGTGATTACCAGTTTGATCTTAGTCACACAATGACTGATATGATATCTGGCCATAACATTCCTATCAACAAAGATAAGTATTTCAATGTAGTTGAAGAGCAATTTCTCAGCCTCAATGAACTATGGGAATCTATCTGTGTGCAGTATCAAGACAAGCTTGAATCAGCAGATGATGAGTCGTTCTTCAGAATATTTTTACCAAATTTCCTAAACCTTGACCTATATGAAGAGACCAGTGATCTTGAGAAGGAGTATAGCTGTAAGAATGTGATTAAATTCTTAAGGAGTTTACGAACCCTGGCAAACACCATGAATTCAGTCATCACCATTACTATTGATAAAGAGTCCTTGAAGAGCAACGCTCTTCTCAGCTACTTCATCAAGTTCAGTGATTTAGTCCTTGACCTAAAATCTTTCTCTGATAGTCAGGATGAGTTCCTTGATTATCAAGGATCTATAAGAATCTTGAAACAGCCTGCTATCAATGGCCTGGTGGGCCATAAGGCTGATCAAGATATTTATGTCTTTAAAAGCGACAAGAAAAACTTTAAAATCGAGACTATTCATATGGACCCTGAGGTCGACACTAAAAAGGATAATACCACAAAGGAGGAAGATGGACAGAGTTCAGGAACCACTTCTGTCCTTTGTTCTAGCAAGCCATCTAACAAAGATCCATTAGATTTTTAATTTCATCATTTGGAGATGAGATTATAATTTTTTGGGGTTTTGGGGTTTTGGGGTTTTGGGGTTTTGGGG